TCAGCAGAATCTTTAAAAGACGGAACATCTTCATTACATAAAATGAGAGGTTTGCTTAGGAAAGAGATGGCAGGGGGGGTCAATCACAGGAACATCCCGCTTTTTTTGCAAACACTTTTTTCACTGGGCAGGGTTCAGCAAACATTTTTGAGGGAGTGAAAATCCTTTCAGGAGTGACCCAATCATCATAGACTGCACATTCTATCTTTTTATGGACAGAGAATGAATTGCAAGTTTTAGTAGGCTCCTTTGTGCCCAAAGGGGTGTGCAGAGACAGAGGAAAGCAAACCTGCACAATGTCAAGGCTTTTACAGACAGAAGCAATGAGCTTTTCATTGTTAGCAAGCAAGTTGCGTGATGCTCCCACTTCAATAAATTGATAGTGTGGGGGATAGAAATCTTCTGCAGCTTCCTCAACATCCTCTTTATTACTCTCTGATTCAGTGTCCTCTAGAGCTGTCATATCTGAGTCCGACTCAGGCTGAGAAACTGGAGTAGGGGAAGAGTTTATAAACACTGGAGGAACATCCCCTCCCGCTGCTTGCAATGGCATCACTCCGGTGTAACCACCAGGGGAAGCGGTTAATATGTGTCAAGTATTTCTTTGAACCTCAGGTACCCCCCTACAAGTATTTTCAGAGTTTACAGAGGCATTTAAAAACTGAGAAACCAGAGGTGATTAATTAAGGACAATTATGAGACATTGAAGAGGCTTTTTAAACGGAGAAATAAACCCGCAGTAATTATTAAGGAAAATTTAAAAAATATGACCTAGCTCACTGTCTGACTGCCACACTCACCCTCTGGCTTATGTAGACTAAGAATTACTGGTGATCTAGCATCACCTACTACATAACTTGTTGGAGGTTGGTGACTGAACATACATATTTTTTTGGCTTCCATACTGGCTGGTTGTCTGATTTTCAACTGCTGTATGATTGTTTCATGGTTGTGATTCAGAAGTATTGAAGCCAGAAACAGCTTGGGTAATTAGCATTTACATATAACACCCAGCAATAACAATATCTTACGAAGAGCATATTTTAAAGTGGTTTGTCTACAGTAATTGCTTTTTTGATCTGTCACAAATACCTTGCCAGCCTCCTTGCATTTAGAATGAGGCTAGTCCAGTTTTTTAATGTGCTTCTTTGGTCACAAAGACTGTAGCTGCTGACTTTTAATAAGCAGACATTCACCTGATCCAGGATCTAGCACCATCCTCACCCGGGCCAATTTCTTCACCGGTCTTCGGTCCCTTGGCACCAGCATATTAATTGTGGGCAGCCAGCTGTGACTGCTTGCAGCTTCACAGCTGGCTGCCCACTGTCCATGCGTGAGCCATACTGTGCTTTGTGAATGGTCCTGCTGCCTTCTGGGACCTGTTACTTGTCCTAAAAGGATGCTGGCAGGGATGGCAGAGGAGAATTTCTGCTCAGATTGAGCGGAACTGGGAGAAGGTACCTGTCAAAACCAGATGCCCGCCTACTGCCAAAAAGAATCATGTATCAAAAGTGAAGGGGGGGGGGGGGGGGGGGAGTAGGAGGAGATGTGGAACTTCCCCTCATGAGTGAAGATCTGCTTTAATCGCATACCTAATCTTAACCTATGTAGTTAAAAATTAAGCTTACCTTTTCGGCAGCAGCAATTTCTTTTCCAAAACTGATTGAGAAACAAATCTGTGGAAAACAAACCTTTATTATACCCTATTTAGTACTTGCCATAGGCAAACATTAAAGTCAATGTTACACAGCATAACGTTCTCTTAATACATTGTGGAGAGTGTAAACTTGGGTTTCCAAGGTTGAACTAGTCCCAGTTTGCATGTGCTAGAGGTCCAAGGCACAGTCAACCAATGCACATACCTAAATATGGTGGACGGTTTATTTTGCGTGGGTGTTACCCCATGAATAAGTTGCACAGGAATGTCTCTCCAGATTTACATCTGTCAGTCTATCACCACCTGTAAGTATGTGCCTGCAATGTCTGATAATCTGTGGCCATGGATCATAGCCTACAATATTTCTATTAGTCAGTCTTAGAACTTTGCAAGACGTTATGCTCAACGCTTATAGCTGAACTTCACATTGAATCCCAAAGTCATTATTATAACAAATGACATCAGATGGCACATTAGACCACACATTTTAAAAGATGAACTCATTAACAGTACAAGAAGGCAATATAATGTGCAAAAGTCAGATACCTACAATGACCAGATTTTACTTTAATGTGCCCAGATGACTGAAGGTCAGTTATGACTGCTTGCTAAAAGATATTATCCATTAGTATGCTGTAGAATTATGGAATCCGGATATGTAGAACAGGTTCAACATAAGCCTGATAGATAATTTCTGGAAAAAATTATGTATCCTGTTCCTCCCTTTTTACTAACAATTGGTGATGGGAAAAGGTCCTCTGGCACCCAAGGAGAGGATGCTAGAGTGCTCCTCCCTTCTCTGAGCTCTTCAAATCAATGGTACAAAAACCAAAACAAATTTAAAACAGAAAAGAAAACTAGGGAAAGGGAATTAAGGAGTGAAATAAAACAATCAGGAATTAACTAAAGTTTTGATGACACCTTTTAGGCTTTAAAACTAATTAATAAATATAACAAGGCACTGAAATCATGTTTCTGGTACAAAGCACTTTTTTTTTAATTTGGTGCTACAAACAAAAATTAAAAGCTGCACTAAACCCATTAAATTACCAGTTTCTCAAAACAGTTATTTTCAAGGTATGTTGTGAATTATAACTGTCACTAACAGTTCATGAATAATACAATAGCAATATCATTGAAGAGCAGGACCACAACTGTCAAACAGATTCAGTACTGCAGATTACACAGAGAGAGTGCACAACTCCCTGTGCAATTGCCAGAGCTTCATGACAGCTGGATGATGTGTTCTGTTCGATCTTGATACAGAGCAGACAGTTGTCAAAATGACAGGAAAACAGAGTGCTGCTGGTTACACAGGGAGAATCATGATCCTTCAGTTTAATCTGTAGGACTGAGCTGATAGTTTGACAGCTCAGTCTACACCCAGCAGGAGATGGCTCGGTGATGCAGATGCAGAAAAGGCTCCAAGCTGCAGCACTGCCCCCAAGTTAGGTTCACCTTCTGCCTCAGCCAAGGCCTGTTGTAAAATCAATAACTTGTATTTAGATGACAACATACAGAAATCTGAGTTCAGCTTAGTTGCAAATATTATTCAAATGATGCAAAGTCTGTGCTATTTATCAAAGTATCTTTCCATTTTCAGCAATGGTTAATGATTAAGTAACCACAATGCATCAGAACTGTTGCTTTATAAACAAACAAAAAAAAAAGCTGGACCCCTTGGTTCTGATGTGTGCTTACTTGACGGAAGCTGGCCATAAAGCAGTAGATTTTCAAACGAATGTTCCTACGCCCATTCTCATCAGTACATTTGATGTACAACTGAATGGCCTTTACTGAATTAAACCACATTCACTGTTAGATATACATTTGAGAAAAAATTTCATTGAACAAATGTTCTTAAAACAATTATTTTTTAAAATAGAATTCTACTAGTGTATGGCCAGCTTTAGGGTAACTATTGTTTCATCTACAGTTACACTGTAGACACAATCATTAGATGTAGACATCTCAGTAGATGTGAAAGACTGGAAGGCAGGTGGTACATTACCACTGCCCAATCCGTAACGTACTTCCAAGGTTACTAAAACTGCGCTGGGAAGCTTTTCTCTGGTCGTCCCTTGGTTAGTGAAAGAGATTTAGCATTCTCAATGGCTTGCTCAGGTGTTATGATGGGCCAGAGCTCCTGGGAAAGCTGCATCTTGCCCAGCAGGTGGTGGGCACCACATGAAGAGTTTCCCTACATAGCTCTACAATAATCTTGGAATGATAGCACTAGGAAGGCAGTGGTAATGTCATTCCAAAATACCATGAATGTTTTTTATAATTTTATCAATACTTTTCACTCACTTGGAGTGTGGTAGTCTCTCTAGAACTATACATCACTTCTCCCTGAGCCACAGAACATTGTCCTTGGCAAGCTACCATTCTCTAAGGCAACTTAGCAGACTTCTTGGTAGCATGGCAGTTTCTTGGCAACATCTGGCTCTCACGGCATTCTTTCAAGTAACATTCAGATGTTATGGCACACTCTTCGATTATTTCTAGCTTGTTTGGCAGATAACAGGGTAGACCTTTCTGATATCATAGCATGGTAACATATGATGCTTTTTGTAATATGGTAGCACCCTGCTAACAAACCTGCCCTTAAACATTTATCAGCTGCAGGTGTGCAGGTAGAAATGTTTAAAAGCAGAACTTTGGGTATTTAGTCACTTTTTAAAATATGCTGGGTTATAATAGGTTACGTTCAACGAGGTTAACACCTTCCTATATGCCACCTCATGGACTTGTCTCTTTATTTACAATTTACGGTTTTACTGGGTGTCGGGAGTATAGCTATCACTATACTCCTGGTGTTCTGACAGGTGCATTGTCACTGAAGCTGCTCTGCCCACCCCTCTCCTTCACTGTCAGTTCACAGAAGGCTTTGTACTTGTGAATGAGTTGACATAATACATAGCATTTCATGACTGGGAAAGAAGAGAGGCGGGCAGAGCTGCAAGGAATGGAGACCAGAAGTTCCAGTGTCAGACCCTCGAAAGTATATAAAATTGCTATACTTTCTGTGCTCAGTAAAAAGGAAAATTGAAAACAAAACTGATAAGTCTGCAAGGTGGTATACAGGAAGGCATGAAAACTTGTAACGTACAATATCCCACGCTGCAGTATGGGTGTTACTGCAACATGAATAGTGTGAATGGGCTCTTCCAGCTTCCATATTTTACAGTTTCCTTCTTTTCTGCCAGTTACAATGCAAATAAATTATGTTAAAATTGTTTTTCGCATGGAAAGCCCACTTTCAGTGCTTAGTTACATGTATAAAACTTTATATAATTGCAAATTATTTTGGTTTTTCCTGTGTACTTGTAGTATAGAGGCGTTATTCAAACTGTAGGTTATAGCTAATTGGCCGCAGGGACACCCAACTCCTGATATAAAAGAACATAAATAATGTCTTCCAAGTTCCATCAATAGTACAAATATGAAAAAAAAGGGTTAAGACCTTTTCACCCTCTGTGTTACTTTCCAAGACATATGCACTCAGTGATTCTCCTCCAGATGCTTCAGGGGTACAAACCACAAATCCCACCAGTCGCTTGTTCTCTTGATGGGCAGCAAATTGTGTGATGTTTTTCAAGGTCAAACTGTAAAAGACACAAATTTTAATTTCAAATGTAATATGACCTAACTTATACAATGATGTTGGTACATTTTATAAAATAAAAAATGATTTCTACCAAAACACATTGGTTTTAGTATGTTATGATTCACAAACTCCTACAGGCCCATCTTCAGGTAAAAAAAAAAAAACTTTACAATATTCAAACAAATTATACTTGGTATATTCCAGGCCCTGTGTTTTTTTTTTTTATATAACACACACAAACACACACACACTATATGATATATGAATATATGTTCCTTGACAGGGAACAGTGTGAATGGTATGTAGTCTGCATGCTAAGCAGTACATCTACAGTAACAAAAAGCTACAGCTATGGTGTGGCTTTAAGAAAATCATTAAAAGACCAGAAACAACCTTTTGTGATCTAAAGTCGATCTATAGGAAGATATAAAAGACACACATTTTTGCAACTATGCATGCAGTAATACATCACGAAATGTATTTTTGTAAATGCAGGCAGTGTTAGTAAGTGATTTATTAACTAGTTAACCTTTTGAAGTCCCTTTACAGTAGAGCTCAGACTGGGAAAGGGAGACGCAGCACAAAGGAGATAGTAGTGCTAAAGTGCTCATGCGCTAACAAGGAACATGCCGATAGGAGAGAGCCGAGAGACAGATTAGCTCCTTAGTCTACTGTTTCTCTTTGTACTATCTCGGCACAGTATGGGGCAGGGACAAGACCTAGTTGTATTACTTAAAGTGCTATTAAACTCTCATTTTAAAGTCTACCCTACAGGTAAGCTTAAGTCTTACCTGTAGGTACCTTGGAAATGAGCGAAAACTTGTGCCATTTAGTAGATATTTATGTTGGCTTCAGCCAATTATGTCCCAGGCACATGCGCAGTACACTTTTCACTCATGACACACTGAGTGTGCCATAATTGCAGAGAGTGCTGCCCTGCAATAGAGACTCCTTCGTGCATGCATGGAAATGACGTCATTGCGGCCCGGCCATTCAAACAGCCAGAGTGCAAAACCTGAAAGGAAGAGCATGTGAGGATAGAAGTGCCAGAAGCGGTTACTGCTCAGCGCTGGAGGGTTCCATTTGAAAAATAGGGCTATCATAATGTGCTAGTATGCGGTACATACTAGCACATTATAGCATAAACCTGCAGGGGGCCCATTTGAGAAAAAAAAAAAAAGAACAAAACAATTTTGTAAAGTTTAATGCCACTTTAACTGCGGCAGGAAAAAGTCAGGTGTCTTGCGTTGCTGTATGGCCATAATATAAATCCTTTGGCAGATAAAACAGCTCAGTTTGAATGCACTTCAGAAACCAAGTGGTTAAGAAGCAGAATATTAGTGACAGCGTGATTTGACTAAACAAAGTTCCATACTATTTCAGAGCACTTCCCATTCAAATGATGACACCAGAGAAGTGTCTAACTGAAACAGCTGGTGATAATGTTTTCTACTGCTTTTGTAAGACAAAACACAGTTGCATGTCGAAAATCAGATGACTGATCATTCTGACTGCACAATATGGACTCAACAAAAGAGTTACAACTTACTAGTAAAACTAAAATACATTTTGATATTTTGCCCACACTGTCCCATGCCAAGAAATATAACCTCCTGGTGCAGCAGGAATCTTAAATCTCCTTGGTGGAAATAAAAGCGTGAGAAGCAAACTATGAGATTCCTTGTAATGGTTTCAGCAGGTTATCATTATACTCACACTTATTCTTGTAACTTGTGTTTGTGGATCTATTAATCTAGAGGTAAAAAGAAAATGACCAGTTAAACCCTATAATTTAAAAAAAATATGCACAATTTCTAATTTCCATGATAACACAAGCTACCTCATAGATCAGTTTTCTTGTTTCTAAGTGATAAATATCTGCACAATACAATGAACTGCTGTATTTACCTCTGCAATGAAAACAGCTGTCCATGATACCTTTTTTGTGCACTAACATCTACATTTTCAGGACAAGCTTTCAGGGGGTTCCTTTGTTCTCGGTTCAAGCAATACCAATACATAAAGTTTTCATAAAATATTAAGTAGGATAGATACTGTACTGAACAAAGATCACTGCTGTACAAAAGGCATATACAGCAGACTAAAATCAGACAGAAGGGGGCGCCAATCTGAGTGTAGAGGGTTAATACTTTAATGGTATCAAAAGGAGTAAAAACTACTCACAAACATATGCAGTTAAAAGGCATGGTATAAAATCATCATCTGGTAAGCCTTTTGTCAGCCAGAAGTGTAGTAGCGTGTCCTTGTTGCTGCCTTCTCTTGTCATTCCCTATCTGGGACCCTTGAACTTTTTGGACTTTATGCCTATAATATCATATTTCATCTATATTGTATGATTGTAATTGCTGCATTTATTCCCACTAGGATCTCCCTACTTGTGGATCCCTCCCAGCGCCAATTCTGTCTTTATTCTCCTGGATATACAGCAGACTATGATCATTACAGCTTGAGCGAGGATGTACTTACCATTGAAGAGGGTAGGCCTGAGCCCATAGGAGTCGGTACAAAAGAGGAGGCTTTTTGTGTATTTATCAATATACAGAGCCTTGACATAGCGGTCTCACAGGATGTAGGTGAATGGCACTGGGCACCATTCAACCCTGAAGACAAGCATCACAGGATCAGTGATCGGATAAGTCTGTGGGGTACAGCGTGGAAGATAGGGCGAGTCCAAATCTCAGCGCTACTTTTCAGTTTCAGGAGCTGCCTGGGTAACCGTAAATCTTTGCTCAACCTAGATTTGTCAAAGTCACAATAACTGTATTCTGGGTAAGGACCAGTAAATATTATTTTTTTCTGCATAAAAGATAGGTGATCCTGGTACTGAGCTTTTTGCTGGGGCACCAACGATTGTGTACCTACAGTCTCCAACACTGAAAGCAAAGTTACTTCACTAATAAGAAAGGTGTCATATGGCTTAGGCTAATGTTATCTTATTTCTCTAACAGACACTAATGCCAATAATCACAATCCTTAGCTGTATTAAGACTGCTTTGACATTTTACAGCATTGTATTAAATAGGGTTGATTAACGTAAAGTGATTCTAAAGGAAGGATTAAAAAAAATAAAAAACATGTTATACATAGCTGCTCTGTGCAATGGTTTTACACAGAGAAGCCCCAATCCTTTTCTTTTGGGTCCCCCACTGGCGGCTCCTCTCTGCTGAGTGCCCCCCAATAACAAGTCTCTTGCTATAGGGGCACTTGAGCAGGCTCGATCCTGAGATGCATTCTGTGTGCCAATTCACCCCCTGTTCTCTCCATATTAGCTCACTGGTTGTGATTGACAGCAACAGGAGCCATTGGAGGAAAGAGAGACCACGGAGAGCCACTGCTCTCATGCGCATTGCTGGATCAAGATGGTGCTTAGGTGGGGGGGGGGGAGCTGCACCCAGAAGGTTTTTTTTTACCTTAATGCATAGAATGCAAAGAACCTTGAGCCTTTAGAATTACTTTAAGGGAAAAAAACATGTGTTTCCAAGGTATTACCAACAAAGAGTTTTAGAAACTATGGTTGAGAAGCTCTTGAACCACTTATACACAGGTGTCACAGAATTGATTGATTCCTGCAATTTAATTTGACTAGAGATTACAGAATCCATCTATCAAGTTTAAGAATTGACGCAAATCTGACAAATTTGAACAGGTGGATATCCATAAGCATAAATTAGTCTCTGGTTGATTGGACAGTCCCAATCTGTCAGACAACATGGAGTCTCCAACACATAATATGGAGCGGGCATAGCAAGGGACTAATGGACCACAAGTTAACAGAAAGGCGTTTGAGAACACAGTGGTGACAACATAGAGCCTTCCACACATAATATGGAGTTGGAATAGAAAGGGACTAATGAACCACAAGTTGGCAGAAAGGCAGGTGAGTACATAGCGATAACAACATGGAGTCTCCCACACATAATATGGAGCAGGCATAGAAAGGCGCTGATGGACCACAAGTTGGTGGAGTGGCAGATGAGAACCTAGTGATTATACTACTGATTGTCTATACTTATTACATTGAAGTTGTTTGGAAGATTCTGTCCAAAACATTTTATACAAAACTGCAATTCATGTGTGGCACAGAAGCTGCTCAGTGATAGCGAACACACAACACATTAAACTCTTGAAAATCTATCATATTCTAAGATGGATATATAAAAAAAGCATATCTACAAAAAATAAATAAAAACAATACCTTATGCTTTTACTGGTTACCATCAAGTGAGATTCTGTCATCCGGAATATATTATGAATAGCTCGAGCAGCTAAAACTTGTCGCATGGCCTCAAATATGACCTTGCTGGTGTGATCCGATTTTACTGCCATTGATCCTAAGAAGCGAACTACAAACATCTGCTGTAAAAGCAATCCTGAAAAATAATATAATTATAACTTAAAAACAAAACAGTAATTCAGCTATAACAAATATTTTCATAATGCTTCCTAAAAATATGGAAGTTTCTAAACTTTACTAGCTTTAGCACCAATAAACAAGCTTTTCTCAAGTAACCTGCATCTCAGTACTCGCATTCCAAAGTCGGTAACCTTTTTGTTAACTTTGTTATTCAGCAAGGCTTCTAGAACTCAGTAACCATGGATATATGTAAAATAGTCAGTGAATGCAGTGTTCTTTTCCCCCCAAGATGTTACTTCATTATCAAGATATTAGTAGGATAGTTATCAAAAGACCTTTACCATCCTAAAGATATAAACCCAAATGAAATTCCTCATTGTTAACCAGCAACTGTAACTCAGGAAACACTATGAAGCAAGCCGATGGCCAAATTCCTCTGCGTAACTATGGCCACACAGAACATCTTTTTTATTTCTAGGATGACATTTCTTTCTAAAATATGATAAAGAAGAATGAACAAGTTCACCTATCGGAACTGGTTATTGACAACCTGACCACCTGCCCTTTCCAAAATGACCTCCAGGCAACATGGAGCTTAGCCAATGTCCAGTTCCAAGAAAACTGACTAATAAAGGCTAATAGTGGATGCAAGTGCAATACTGAGGACGAGGGCAAAGAAAGGACCACGTTGCAGTAGAGTATAAGAAATGAGGAATGAAACACAGAGGAAAGCAGAGAAGAAGAGTATGTTCCCAGAAAAGCCCTTCACATTGTTGCCACTCAGCTTCCTCACTTCCAGAAGATCTGCCACTATCTCTTACTATGAAGCAACTGTCTCCTACTAGCTGTGAAACACACATTTCTAACACTACCATGGAGGCATGTCATGTCCCTCAAAAAAGGGCCCTCCAATCGGAAAGCTCTACTCCAGAGTCCCACACACTTAAAGCTTGACAAAGGTTTACACTACAGTGGCTAGGCCAGGGGTAGGCAACCTGCGGCTCTCCAGCTGTTGAAGGACTACAAGTTCCATCATGCCTCTGCAAGTCATAGCTATAACTGTCAGTTTTGTAATGTTACAATGCCTCATGGGAAATGTAGTTCCACAACAGCTAGAGAGCCGCAGGTTGCCTACCCCTGGGCTAGGCAATTCCTGATAAACATAAAGACAACTGTGCCGGTGTTCTCTCCATATGGCTGCCGAGCACAGCTGAAACATACCAGGACAGCTACTGGAACACATATCCACAGTCCCAGTACCTTTAGAAACATGTGTGCACACACTCCAAAAAAGGAACTTCAGAGGATTTGGATTAACAAGGCTGCATACTCAGCTACTGAGACAATTACACTGCAAGCCACCTCTACATCTCTGCAAACCAGGACGAAGCAAAGACTTCCTAATTAGAGTCCCCTGTCAATATAGGTTATGATTTCCCCCAACAGCTGTATATTAATATGAACCCCTTGTATAAAGTCCCAGAAATAAGTATAAGGGGAACATAGTAGTTATTAAAAACAAATGCATTTAAAAAATTACATTTAGCCTTTTGCTAACATTATCTGTAACCTGCACTAGAATAATAACATATTAAATGTATCGAATTGCTGATTTGCCCATAAAAAGGTTTCATGTGTACAGTATGTAGTATATATTTGCGTAGATAAAAGGTACATTTGCTGCTATACAAGGTACACCAACACAATAAGTACTTCAAAGTGTCTTATAATAAAAGAAAAGAATATGTACAAAATGTACAACAGCAGTTATATAACAAGCTGTAGACTTAGGAGGATATACATATGCAGTAAAAATGCTAGAAAAGACAATAGCCCTTGACCATGTCAAAGTACATATGTAAATATGTAGTACTGCATAATAAAAGCAGTAAGAGTTAAAGTGGTTGTAAAGGCTGGACGCTTTTTACCTTACTGCATTCCCTGCATTAAAGTGGAAATCTTTTTTTTTTTTTTTTTAACTTTTATTAAAGCTTACCTGTAGGTATAGTGAATATCTCCTAAACTCTCACTGTTTACGAGATAGTCACACTGCATGCAGCCAGTAACATCACCAGCACATGAGCTCTGAAGGGACAGCATACCTGTACCATCCCTTCAGAGCTCGTTGCCGTGGCTGAAACTCCCGCGAGCATGCGCGGGAGTGACGTCATCGTGGCTTGGCCGCTCAGAAGGCCAAAGTACACGAACCCAGTAAGAAGACTGGGTGAAGATCTAAGGCAAGTACTTCATAATGTGCTAGTACTAGCACATTATGCCACTGTCTTGCTGGTTTAAAAAATAAATAAATAAAAAGGCCATGGTTTACTACCGCTTTAAGGTAAAAAATGTCCCTCTATTTGTTTTGCCCCCTCACCCCCTTGTGTACTCATCTGAGCCCGATCTCAGTCCAGAGCTGTGCCCATCTAAGCGCCTCTCTCCTCGCTCACAGAGATAGCAGCAGCCATTGGCTCCTGTTGCTGTCAATCAAATTCTGTGAACAGAGAGTTGAGCCGAGACACTGTCTTTGTCTATGCATGCCGGCAGCATGGCTCGGGAGCAAGCCCACAGGAGGGCCTCCATAAGATGAGGTTTCCAATGGGGCCCACTGAGAGGAGGAGAAGCAGAGAGCACCAGTTGGGGACCCAAGAAGAGGCAGATCGGGACCGCTCTGTACAATACCCTTGCAAGTATAACATCTTTTTTTTTTTTTTTTTTTAATTTGAAGCCTTACAGTCACTTAAACAACCTGTAATGACTTACGGACCAGGTGGAAAATGAAGCTCCAATCACCAACCCCTTTCTCAAGGTGGATATTTGCTCCATCCCCCACTTGAATTTATATAAACAAATCTGCGCCTGAATATTATAATGATCACAGAGCAGTATAAATGACTATTACCATTGCATGTGCCAGTAACTTTAAGCAAGAGCGTTCTTGTCCTTAACACCTATTTGACATTAAAAAGTGAAATTCACTAATTGTATCAACTACCAAGTCAAGTAAGAACAGAATAAATACAGAAAAACAAATAGCTGGTGTAAGTGCTAGGTCACTACAGAGACCAGTGGTCTCCCAGGGGCCAAATGCAGCCCTTTGCTTCCTTTTATCTGGCTCTTGGGGCACTATTTTCATCCCCATTTACCAACAATGTGACAAAATTCCCCCCACTGACACCAATGAACGGGTTAAAAATCCTCTCAATGATACTAATGATGGGGAACAATAACGGGGCAAAATTCCTCCCAATAACACCAATGATGGGGGACAATCTCTTTCAATGACTCCAATGATGAGGCACAATTCCACCCACTGACACCAAAGATGAGGTGTTGTTTATTCTCACTGAGGTTGGGACGTTTTCTACTCCCAATGGCTACAGTGTGGCCCCCCTTAAGTCTGAAGGATAGTAAACCGGCCCTTTGTTTAGAAAGTTTGGAGACCCCTGACATAGATTATTTAAGTACATCTAAAGGCTCCTGTATGACAATCTAAATACGCAACAATCCACTTATCTAATTACTTTATGAAGTCTCATACAAATAAACAAAAACTTCCTTTACCTTTCCTGACTCAGCCAAATTCCCTTTGATTGAGCTCACAGTGGGGGGTCAGGTGAGCAACAGAGATAAAACTGTCAATCCAGAAAACAATTGGCGGGACTGAGTGTGGCCAGGTGATGTTTGACAAGCTACAGGTTTGTGAAACAGCAGTGACAATGCTGATAGCCATGCCCCCTGCAACATTTTTTTTTTTTTATCCCACTGTAGTTCAAGTATGAATAGCTTACATGAGAGAAGCAACTCTTCTCTGATTTCAGAAATAGTGCAGCATCATGACCACCAACAGTAAGCTGCAGTAGCTGGACATCACTGGTCTGATCAAAAGGTATTTGTGGGAATTTGCAAGAGGAATAAGAGAAAACTGTGCATATACACATATAACTACACTCACCAACCACTTGATTAGGTACACCTGTTCAATTGGGAGTTTGGAGCTGCGCTGTATGTCTTTGGATGAACACAGCCGGGCCCATAAGTGCACCCACGCGGGTGCCCCCATAGTATATGGCTTGCTAAGGGGGCACTAGGAAGAGAGGAGGAGAGGCCAGCGCTGGTGGGGGACCATCAAAGAAGAGAAGTTAAAGGACTATATTCTTGCACAGAGCAGGTAAGTATAAACCTCTTATTTATTTTAATAGGAAAAAATAGCTCTTGAAACCACTTTAAGCTTGTTTCTGACCTGGTCTATTAATATTGTCAATGTGCTTTGTGTATTACCTTCCTCTGCCGGGTTTTCACCAGTGTCTTCAGATTCTCCAAACGGATTTGTGCGCCTGAAAGTAGAAAACATAAAAGAACTATTTGTACTACACAGCACGTATATCATGTAGGCTTTATAGTATAATTCATGGAACACTGTAAGTAAATTACCAGTGCTCGATATTGTGCTAACTTTATTACATTATCATGGACATTTTCTGCATCACTGACCTGTAACAAATATCTAAACAATTTACAAACTATGAAAGGCATGCATCTCTCAAATGAAAATTCAGCATTAAGGCCTCATTCACACCTCGTGTGCAGAAAAACTGATAGGAACTGATGCACAGATTTCACTTGCAGAGATATCAGTTTACATCAGTTTTCATGCGCGTTTCAATGAGCTTTATACTGGTTGCAGATTCCTGCGCAGAAAACATCTGCACTTGATTTTAGTGTTGTGGTGTGAACAGGGCACATAGAGAACAATTGATTTAGTTGTGCCCTTGCAGAATGCGTGCAGAAAAACTGACATCTCTGCACCATGGTGTGAATAAGCCCTTAAAATGGAAAACTGAAAAGAGGAGACCAGCAGAGTGCCTCAAATTTTTTTCTCTTACAAACACAGAAACCTCTCTCCACTGCCTAGAGGTCCAGATACAACTTAATTCCAATAAAAGTCAGAAGGACCATCCAGAAAGTAGCCAAAAACCTACTTACAAGGCCTGGGTTTGTAATCACACTGAAAGAAATACCAGCAAAGGTCTAGTTCACTTCTAGTCTGTTCACATTGTTTTCAATGAATTCCTGATGAAGGGGGCATTTTTGGATCCCCAAATTGGCTACTTTTGGATTGTCCCTCTGACTTTTATGGGAATAAAGTTGCATCTGGACCTCTAAGCAGTGGTGTGGCACTTAAATGTTTATTTTAATTAAAGTACACTACAAGCCAGAGAGACTGTGGATATCCTCAGGGGTGTAGGAGTCACGTGACCTGGAACCAGATTATTTACATCAACATCAATACTTTAAGATAGCAATAACAATAATATGAACTTATGGGTTCAGTGCTATTTCTTCAACTTTCCCCTTTTAATTTTTATTCTGGCATTTGCTGTCCCACTATCTAAATCACTATTATTGCAGTATTACTCACTCTCTGTATTGACTTGAACCTGAGTCTGTATAAATGAAAACTGGCATGTTGCCTAGTTCAATCACCACCCTTTCTTTGAGCCGACTCTAGTCTTGTCCACCCCCATTAAAGCACAAAAACAAAACTTAACAGCTTAGAATCATGTGACATAAAGTTGCATTCCCAGCAAAAGCAGATTTTTTGATTTACAAATATACATGGAATAGAGTTCCTCTTTGAAGTGACAGATCTCATCTAGCAGTTAACATATGAAGTAGAGAAAGGTGCACAGTCATGACAGTGACGTTTTATACCGGTTTCCTCTGTTTTGGTCCTGGAATTCAGTGGCTGGCAGAACAATGTCAAACTGAATAGGTGTGCCCGGGACTATTAACTGCTCTGGCTGCAGTTCCTCTGTGCCATCTTCAGTCATGTGGTTAGTAGGCTCTCTTTGTGGTACATTCTGTCTTAAACTCTCACTGTACAGATAAAATGTAGAAGCACAAGCCATCATCACATACTGTATATTAAAGTCCGACTTCAGCCATTTATTTAAGTTTTGAACAGATTTAAAAAAGGTAAATGCTTCTGTTGAATTTTTATTGCTGTCCAAGATCCCTTGGGGAGATATTACCTCTATTCCTGGCCCTCTGACAGCCCGTGACAGCAGGAAAAGAAACGTAAGGAGCAATTGTCAAGGGGGCAGGAAGTCACAGACCATAATAATAACTTGACAAATGTTCAAATTATTCCCCATTTTACTGTAAAATTAAAGTGTTACTAAACCCACAACAGTAAAATCAGTCTGTATATGCAGTAAAGCATGCTTGTTATACTCACTGTGGAACATAAGGGGTTAATCCTCTGCACTGTGTAAAAAAGGCTGTTTGATCTTTTCTTCTCTGCCCCTCCTCTTGTTTAAATGCCTATGCTGATCAGACAGATTGAACTGTGCCTTTCTGCACATGCTCAGTTTAGTGTGTATTGCTAGAGAGGTTTTTTTTTTTCTGGGGAGAGTGCATGTGATCAGAGCAGGGCCAATCAGCACTCTCCAGACAGAGGTCAGGGGATTTCCATCCTCCTAGAGAAAACTCCTCCTACAAGCTTTAACCAGTGCTCTGCTGAAGTCACAAAACTGCTCTAACTGCTGATGGGAAAAGGTAATTGGCAGGTTATATTTAGTAAAATAATTGCACTTCCATGTTCTGTGTACTGGTGGAGACCAGATATAGTGAATGCAGGGTCTTGGGTTTAGAAACACTTTTAAGTTGTGTAACATCTGTATCAACACTGGAGAGATTTACCTTTGCCTTCCCTCCCAACAAGAAGTGTGGGGAAATCTCCCCAGTGGGGACAGATATCACAATAAAAAGCTGAGACAGATGTTCTAGGTCTTCCCTACTCTGTCCAAAACTAAAAATAGGCAAAAAAATACAAGGTATATTTATTTTGACAGTCCCAGAAGGTCTGCACCATACTATATAAAATTAAAAATGTTGGAATGTAACAAATACAGTCCACATGAGGGATTTTACCTGTTCTGTGTATTTTCAAGTCTCCTGTCAAAGCTGGTAATAGGGGTAACTGCCTCTTGAGCTGTTTGGTTTAACTTGATAGCTACAGCCTAATAGAAGAAATTGATAACAGTCAGACCATTAGGGCACACACAACACCGCCAAGATAATCCTTCAAGAATGAATTACCTCTGGATTATCTGTCAAGTAGATCTGTCTTGAAATGTTATTAATAGCACAAATCCACTAAACCAAAAGGAAAAGAAAAAAACAAATGTAAATTTCATGTAAGTGGTCCATCTTCAGCATACATTCGTCTAAATACTTCCAAAGTTTGCTGTTGCAATTTAAGATAAAATGAACACAATTTACTGTTTCAGGATTGAGGTCTCCAGGTCACTCTAGAATGTATGAGAACATATGGCCAAGCATCTTGAATTCCCTGCTTTATATGTTTTCCAGAGAATTACCCACTTGTGAAGGCAAGTTGACTAGAAGTCCCAGAAAGCAAACTTCTTAACTGTGAGGTGTGCATGTGATCATTAACAGTGGTGCTATACTAGAGGGCATAAATAAAAAGGGGGGCACCTATATATAGTAAAAGAGAGAGAAATAGTTCGGAAAATAAAAGTATAATGGCGGGAACCACATAAAGTTCATAATGCTCACCACTAAATATACACACTAATTAATTTGCTTGGCCAAAATAGAAAGCATATTGGTAGGTGTCCAAAACCTTACTGACAGATGTAATATGCAGAAGTGTATTAGACCATAGAAACCTATAAAATGATCATTAAAGCCCAACTCCAGGAAACTTGAATGTTCTCCCTTGCAGTGGGGTTGCATCTTCAATGCAAGGGTTAACTGCTCCTTTAAGTCTAGGTGGCATAGAATAGAAGATTTACTTGCTTGCTGATTGAATTGCTAGACCAGTCCCTGCAGCTTCTTCTACCCTATGCTCTAGCAGTCTAAGGTCCTAGTGTCATTAAGACCGCTGCAGAGTTTATAGCACTGCACTGGACGTGATGAAAGCAATGTATAGTCCACCATCAAAGAATGAGGGAGCATAGTCCTGCCAGGAGAGCAGAGGACTGCAAAAGTAAAAGTATTTTTACTCTCTCCTAGAATAAGTGTGCAGTTAACCCCTGCATTGCTGGCATAGTGCTCTAAAGCCTTGTACATACAGTATGGACTTCAGCATGTGAAAGACCAATGTGTACAGCAATCTTCAAACAGTGAAAATTTAAAGAATCCTCTTACTCCCTATAAAGAGCAGAGATATGTGAGTGGGACTATATATATGCAGCTGAAAAATCACACAAATGGATAAAATCAATTTTTTTTTATAAATTTTTTTTTAAATGACACAAAAAAACCCCACAAACTGCTTAATGAAAGTTCTGATCTTATGTATATTACCAATATGTGGTATCTGGCGTTTCATTGATCCTAAACTCGCTTCCCCAGGATCCCCGTCCATTATATATACAGTAAGTCAGTTGTTCTCTATATATGCAGCTTGTGTCCTCTAATATCACCATGTATTAATGTGAGACCATGCAGAGATCCAATAATAATAAAATCCCTCAACCCTTAAAAACCAAATTTCAATATGTATGCCCATACACTGAATATGCATGGGAATCCCCTATAAATATATAAATGTGCTATAAAGGCCACTTGGCATTTTCCATCACACCAGCATGTCATCAATCTCTATGCAAAGATGCGCCTATGCGATTGGGCTTTGCGAAGCGTGTTAACCACTTCAATACCGGGCACTTTTACCCCCTTCCTGCCCAGGGCAATTTTCAGCTTTCAGTGCTGTCGCACTTTGAATGACAATTGCGTGGTCATTCAACACTGCACCCATAAAAAACATTTTATCATTTTTTCACACAAATAGAGCTTTCTTTTGGTGGTATTTAATCACCGAGTTTATTATCTTTTGCTAAATAAACAAAAAACCCTGAAACTTTTGAAAAAAACTAATTTTTCATTTTAATAAAAATTTGCAAATAAAAAACATTTCTTCATAAATTTAGGTCAAAATGTATTCTGCTACATTTCTTTGGTGAAAATACCTCAAATTAGTGTATATTAATTTAGTCTGTAGGAAAGTCATGTCAGGTGACAAGTAGAAATTCAATGTTGGTGATCCGTGAGGAAGTGGCTGAAAAACGCACTCACCAGAAAGAAGATATATATAAGCAGTATATATCAAAAGCCCATGGATCCTCAATCCAGAAGGAAACAAAGCTGGTCCGGTCACAGAAAGTGGGTCCCTCCTTTATGGATGCAGCAACAGATCTTCCTCCTCCCAGTTAGGTGTAGGATTCCAAAATCAGGGTTCTGCAAACAAAGTGCTCCTGTTTCTTGATAGTTGTTTTCACTGGGGATGCAGCAGTCCTCCGAGATTGGAGGCAGTGGATTATTTCTTCCCTATCTCCCTCCTCTATTCAGCAATACACCTGTGTGAAAACCATCTCCATCTGGTTTTCACACAGGTGTATTGCTGAATAGAGGAGGGAGATGGGGAAGAAATAATCCACTGCCTCCAATCTGGGAGGACTGCTGAATCCCCAGTGAGCAGAAAACAACTATCAAGAAACAGGAGCACTTTGTTTGCAGAACCCTGATTTTGGAATCCAATACCAAACTGGGAGGAGGAAGATCTGTTGCTGCATCCATAAAGGAGGGACCCACTTTTTGTGACCGGACCAGCTTTGTTTCCTTCTGGATTGAGGATCCATGGGCTTTTGATATATACTGCTTATATATATATCTTCTTTCTGGTGAGTGCGTTTTTTCAGCCACTTCCTCACGGATCACCAACATTGAATTTCTACTTGTCACCTGACATGTTTCTATGAACTGGACTTGCAGTGGACTTATTTCTGTTTTATCATTATTACCTTCAGCGCTGCACTGTTTTTTTATGTTAATCTTTTTGTTGTGATTAGCTGTGATTGGGCAAAGCTCATCACATGATACAGATGGGCTGTGATTGGCCAGTCTGTACCATGTGACTTCTTTGATCAATCACAGCTAACAACACAATTGTATACAATGAATGGCATGACAGGAAGCCATCCATTGTATACAATCGACCTGTGATCTGCTGTGATTGGTCACACGGTCACGTGACACTGGCAACAGGCCGGTGTAGTGATATGTCATCGACTGTGTCCCGTGGACAGATCACACCGCTGTGCGGCCCCACGGCCATGTGAACAGCTGCTTTTGACAGGATGTCATATGATGCCCAGTCACAATGGCGAGTGTCCCGCCTGGCCATCAATCTGCTATAGGCCAGGCGGGAAGGTGTTAAACCTAAACGCCAGACACCACATACTGTTTATATACATAAGATCAGTATTTTTATTAAAGTGATATTAAAAGGTTTGCATTTTTTTATTTTTTTTTTTTAATAAACACGTCATACTTACTTGACCTGTGTAATGGTTTTGTGGGTCCCCCTGCCAGAGCTCCTGGCCCCTCCACCCTGCTGAGTGCCCCCATAGCCAGCTGCTTACCCTGGGGGCACTCTTGCATGCTTGCTCTGGAGCTGCCTCTGTGTGTCTCTGAGACCTTCACTGGCTGTATTTTCGCTACACTTAGTGATGGTGTCCACCGAGACATAATGTTCAGTTCATGGACATGGCAACTCCAAGCAACTCTACATACAAGCACCTTTGTTAAATCCTTTAAAGCAAGCTTTGGTTTCAGAAATGGGAAGTTACATAGATCCTAATGGGAGTGATGACTGTCACTTTTATCAAGCTACTAGCAAACTTCAGCAGGCCTTTAACAAGCTTTAAGTTGTTAAGTTGTGCTAAAACCTAAAGTGGTTGTAAACCCAGAAAACAAAATATAAACTGAATATTTATAGAATACAGCAATAGAGTATAACTTAATTGTCCTTCGTATGGCAGGGAAAAGAGAAGTCTGCCAGCTGTACTCCTCCCCGCTTTGCTAATGAAAAAAAAATATCTGACACCTTCAAAAAAAAATGGTGATTCCATGCCCCCTCTCCCATGATTCATAGACAAGAATAGGAGACTCATGCACAAGAGCGGAAGTGTGCTTAGTTTCAAGTGGTTGTAAACCTTATATGCATCAGTTCTCAAAGACATGCACAATTTTTTAGTATATTCAATAAAAATCGAAAGCGTTGTATTTTTACCTCAGTATTTTCATCTCTGTGCCTGTCACAGCGCTTTCAAAATCTCCAGTCTGTGGGCGAGTCTATGAACCAGAGCTCAGGAGGCAGAGTAATGACATCACTGGCCCGGAAGGTTTTACCCCCTTCATGACAAGAGCATGTTTTGCCACTTTCTGGCAATTGCTCTGTCATGCAACATTGTACCCAAATTAAACTTATATAATTTTTTTTCACATAAATAGAGCTTTTTTTTGGTGGTATTTGCTCATCACTGGGTTTTATATTTACTTATTTGCGATATAAACAAAAAAAGACTGAAAAGTTTGAAAAAACTGTTATAAAACATATCCAATAAAAAAAATCTAATTCCTTCATAAATTAAGGCCAAAATGTATTCTGCTACATGACTTTTTAGTTAAAAATAAATCCCAATGGGTGTGTATTAATTTGTTTGTTTGGTTTGTGCGAAAGTTATAGCGTCTACCAACTATGGTGAATATACTGTAATTTATACTTCGTTAAAAAGTGCTTGAAGTTGGTTAACAGCTTTGTATATGTGTTTTAGAAACTTGCTGTATACACTCCTCTTATACAAACTGAAGCCCACATGCACAAAGCCTTACCCTTATCACTACAATTAATGGAAAGCCATGTTGTCAGTTACAGCACCTCTGAATTGTGCTTTTTGCATCGTTCAGAAAATGTATGGTTTTGTAAATAAAAGGTAAGAGAATGGACAGGGAATAAAGTTGTTGGAGAACGACAGCCAACAGCAGCTTACCTCTTCATATTCCCTTTTTCCTTCTGCTTGGAGGATGATGCTCCTAGAAAAGCAACACAGAATAATGATTCTTCAAAGGAATTTGTCACAAAGCAGAACATCTGTGTGAGAAGGCTTTGATGCAACTAACCACATCCAACTTGTGCCTCAACAATAGATCCAGCCACTTAACACAAACCTTCAAAGAATCACTGCCTGGAGCTAGCAAGTGGCATATGAACTGAGAAATCGCTGCTTCCATCAGAACCTTCTCAAGTAGGTAATATCATAATGACAAAACCCATGTGCTTGTACACATGCAACAACCAGAAGCAGATGACATGTTTTTTGGTTTGTTGGGAAGATATGAAAGCGCTCTTTCCACTGATTACATAGCTTTAAAGGACTATCAGTCTATGGAAATTACACATTTTCCAATTATGTGACCAGTGATAGGCTTTGACAAAGAACCAACACATTGAGAATATGCCTTTAGATATTACAAAGTTGCAATGAAAGAGGATTGCACCATTTAAAAGATTTCATTTTGGCAGATAGAGACTTTTTTTTTTCTTACTTTTAGTGAATTGTAAAAGTTTCCCCACTGCCCAAAAATGACATAGGACACCTCAAGTCATGTACTGGAACTATAGCCACAGCTGCCCACCTTACTGAATCCAGAGTAGTGATTTAACCACTATAGTCACAATGTATTTTTTTTTTCTAATTTTTTTTGGACTATATTAAAGGAAATCTACAGAGAATCATATAATTCATTAAAAGCAAGTAGAATATTTGGCGCACTCCGAGACAGAGTAAGGAGGTAGATGCGGCATACAATAGTATGTATACGCATATAATCATGAACAATATACTGTAATAAATATACAAATAAAATTCCTATAAAGAGTCCTAATGGTAATTCTGATGCACCATGGAGTGGGGAGGCAGCCAGCCAATAATGAGCTAGAGGGGTCCTGCGGAAGATCAGGAAGAAAGGGAAGGCACACTCGAAGTGCAGTATAAAAGCTTTTTAATGAATAAAAAGTGTAGTAATACAGGCCACTCACAAAGCATAAGTAGGCTTGTGCTTGTAAATTAATAAGCATCCGCTGTAGTGAAGGAGTGTGAAGCCTCTGGATGGATGGTGGTCACCGGCATCTGGCGGTGGTGCTGGTGGCTTCCAGCACGTCCTCCTAGTTCCTGGATTCCCTCGGTTGAGACGTCACTTCCAGTCTCACAGATGGACTGATGAGGGAGGAGCACGCATGCTTCGAACGCACGCCAATACGCACATGATAACGGGGTTGGCATGCGTTCGGAGCATGTATGCTCCCTCATCAGGCCATCAGATGGCCTAAAGAGAAAGCATGCATGCTCTGAATGAGCGCCAACCCCCACTATCACGTGACCAGAAGTGACGTCTCAACCAAGGGAATCCAGGAACTAGGAGGACGTGCTGGAAGCCCTCAGCACCATCGCCAGATGCCGGTGACCACCATCCAGCCAGAGGCTTCACACCCCTTCACTACAGCGGATGCTTATTAATTTACAAGAGCAAACCTACTTATGCTTTGTGAATGGCCTGTATTACTACACTTTTTATTCATTAAAAAGCTTTTATACTGTACTTAGAGGGCGCCGCCTCTTTCTTCCTATAATTCATGAAATAAGATCATCAGGAGTCCACAAAAATGTAAATCTCCAGAGACCAGAGAGATCCATTTCAAAATATTCTAGAAATATAGAAGAGAAAAAAAAACCCTATCTCAAGCCAAACAAAACACAAATTTCTCTACTGTGAGCAAAAGCAGACATCTCTAACTAGACCGAAGGCTCAGTTCAATAACTTATAATGCATGTGCTATTTGCAATAATTTTCAGCCATGTGACTGTCACATTCAGCTATCCAACACAAGAGAGAAGCATTAGTGATGTGCATAATGGGATATTTAATAGGGATCATTTACAGTAAAATATATCAGTCATTACAAATTCACATTCTCCATTCATGACCATTATCACTGTGACAGAAAGTGATGCTATACACAATTTTCTTCCCCAGAATATGAAGTAAGGGGACACCAGTTCTAATGTAACTACTGACAACTGTCTAAGTGGAACATTCCCCTCACCAGAGATTTCCTCTGATTTCTGTTGTGTCTCTGAAACAGGGTGTTAATGGAAAACTTTTCAGCAGAACACAGAAAGCAAAAAATAAAATTTACAGGGGTTTTGCAGCCCTTCCCTACTCAATCCAAAAATAAAACATAAAATCATTTAGATTATACATACACTTTAATTTATGCCATATTGTCAATTCTGCCCTTTGGAAAGGTGAGAATCGTTTTGGAATCATCTTGTTAAGGGTTACATAAGGTACAGCTGCTCACAGACAGCAGGGGCAATTGAACATGCAGGTACAATCTGATTGGCCACAGGACAATGAATGAGTGTTCTATGTAAGTGTAGAGTAGGCCATAGGTAAGTAAAAAAATAAAAGTTCTGTAGATCGAAAATCAAAAATAGTTCATATAATTGTGCCATTATATGATTGTGCCAAATAAAGTGTTTATCACAATTATTTTAATAATCTAGTTTCAGCTGAATTCCTCAATAGGTTTTCCAGGGGAGAAATTAGGATTGGATTGTTCAAAGTCCTAAATTGGGTCTGGATAGCATGTCAGAGCTGGTAATAGTAAAACAGAACAGTAGGTGGGAGATCAAAGTCCTCTTGCAGTTGTGAAAAGGATTTAAACCCCTGCAGGGTATATAAGTGAGGTATTTAATTCCTCTGCAGGACCATCTCTGAGCATCAGGGATGGAGAGTAATTCAGCCTGCAGAATACATTATACAACATCAAGGGCAGTTGTTTACCAGAGCTATCTGCACTCAAGTTATTTGCACATTTCCATTACTCACGTTTTTCCACTGGGAGAAGTGATCTGGAAGCAGTATCGCCTGTCCTCGCAGTCCACTGCCATAACAGAACAATTGTCCAAGTCTTGAATAAGGCCCCCAGCCACCTCACCCCGGTGCTGACACATTAGGTTTCCACCTTGTGTAAAGAAATATAGTCTCTCCCAAGTTGTGGTGACCAGGCCTGTTTTACTGAAATGTTCAAAAACTGAGATTAGTTTACAAGTGAAAAGTACAAAGATTAAACAGCAGTTGACTGAGGTAACAGGCATCTAGATGTATAATCTTTAACCATTCTTTCATCATTTAAAACTGTTGTCAATTAGAATTATTTCATTACCAACTAGACTTTGATCACAAACTAAACTTACTTTAAATAAAACACAATGGAGAACACCAAATGGCACCACTAAATGTTACTGTAATTTATAATCATAAGGCCTACAACACGATGGATAAAACTGTAGCAGGCTCAAATTCAAACCACCTGGAAAACCAATCCAGATAGAGAGGTAAAAATGTCCAGTTGCCATAATTCAGCTGACATCTTGAGGTGTCTTATTTCCTTTTTAGAAAAACCCTGAACAGACTAATACGTTTGATAACATGAAACATCTCATTGCCAATTCTGGAACATTGGCACACTATTACATGTCAAAAGAAGTGACAGTTGACAGTGACTCATCCTAAAAAAAATCGGAACTGTATTTCTGCAAGAAGGGACACCAGTTACTTATGGCTGCAAGGTACCAACAGAAACACACATCAGATATGCTCAAATAGAAAACAAGATGAACATAAAATTGTATTTGGTCGAAATGTATCCACCAGTATACACTCACCAGCCACTTTATCAGATACACCTTTCTAGTGCCAAGAAAATATCCCCCACACCATTATACTACCACCACCAGCCTGAACCATTGACACAAGGCAGGATGGATCCATACTTTCATGATGTTTACGCCAAATTTCTTACCCTACCATCTGAATGTCGCAGCAACCAGTCTGCCCATTCTGCTCTGATCGCTGACATCAACAAGGCATTTTCGTCCACACAACTGCCGCTCACTGGATATTTTAACTTTTTTGGACCATTCTCTGTAAACCCTACAGATGGTTGTGCATGAAAATCCCAGTGTATAAGCAGTTTTTGAAATACTCAGACCAGCCCGTCTGCCACCAACAATCATGCAACGTTCAAATCAATTAAATCTCCTTTCTTCCCCATTCTGATGCTTGGTTTGAACTTCAGCAAGTCGTCTTCACCATGTCTAGATGCCTAAATGCATTTAGTTGCTGCTATGTGATTGGCTCTATAGCAATTTACCAATCAATTGAACAGGTGTACCTAATTAAGTGGCCGATGAGTGCATATTGATGGGCGGTGAGTAGCAGTTACATCAGATCATGGATTCTTGAAAATAATTAAAAAACTATATATTCTTTTTTATCTGTCCCACTTGGGTGACAAAGGATGATGATATGCCTCTAAAAATATGGCAATGTGGTGAATTAAAAGGCAGTGAACAGGATTCTAGATGTCAATATCCGAAGAAGGTAGTGACACCAAAATAGGAGTACTACCGATGAAGCATTGGAGACTCAAGTATTGTTAATTAAGTCCAGGTTCCCATTTCAAACAAGAAAAAAAAAGTAAAGTCACTTGAATGTCAGTACTGAAACACTTCATACTAAAAACAAGGCCAAAGACAGATTTTTCTCCAAGTGTAAATAAGATTAGAAATTTTCATAAAGGAGTTAGATGCTATGTATGATCTGATCTGCAAAGGTGAAAGGGGGTAAAAAAAAATCCACTATATGCAAATGAGAATTAAAGTATATCCAAAGCCCAATTTTTCATTTTGGATGCAGTAGGGAAAAACCTAAACACATCAGGTTTCTTTATTTGTCTAAGTTCTACTGGGGTGATTTTCTTTTATTACATGTCACTTGAGCACAACAGGATATCTTTACAAAGAGAATAAAAATACCCTTTTAGCTGTCACCAGAACAAGTGAGCCCACAGACAGATTTCCCCTCTAATACTGTTCTGGTGACAATTCAAAATTTCTGGTTCACTTTCAGCCCCGTTAACAATTGAGTACTGTCCGTGATACTTTTTTTATTTGCACTAACATACAATTTTGAGGACAAGCTTTTGGGGTATGTCCCCTTCTTCAAGGTCTAAGCAGTACTCACAAAGAGAGAAGGTAAATCTCCCTAAAGGAGACAATCTGAAAATGATGGTGCTGATGTAAGGAACACAAAACAGAACAAACTCTTTGCTAATTTAGATGGAGCAGATAAGGACTACAGCTACAGTGTAAAGTGAATATATATACCATATTCAAAAGAAACAAAAAATGATCTTACAAACATCAATGTAGCAGAAAACAGCAAACTGCAGCTACGTAGTGAAGCCACTATATCATTTTGATTTATAAAAATGCAGCATTTTGTGGTCACTATGCTAATTATTTATCTGTACATTTATCTCACTTGTTTGTAATGTTAATTTGAAATGAGATATATTTAACAATATGGTGAACTTTAGGGGGTATCACATTATGCTATTGTTTGCAATCATTGTCTTAAAGTAAAACTGCAGCAAATAACTCTGGAGAGATATGAAATTGTCTTTTCTGACTTAGTCTTAACCACCTCCCGTCCGGCCGTTGTATATAAACGGCCGGACGGTGGCACTGCAGGGTCGGGTGGCCTTCTATAAACGGCCTCCCCGCACCCTGCTTGTGCGCGCTCCCTGGGAGCGCGCAGCACCGCGATCCGGTGCCCGCTGTGTCCTCCGGACACAGTGAAACACCGATCGTCGGACAGGGACCTCTGTACGAGGTCCCGATCATGTGATCACTGATTGGCCAATCAGTGATCACATGCAAAGTAGTAAGCAAGATGTCACTTCTGACATCTTTGCTTACTACGTGTGAAATCTGTGAATGATCACAGAGGTCACATGGTACAAGGCTATTCACAAAAGCCTTGTACCATGTGACAAGCTGTGACCAATCACAGCTCACTCAGTACTTCTCAATGAGTGCAAGAATGCACACAGAGAGAAAGAGAAATGATTGCTTTTACATCCTATATGGGTGTAAAAGCAATCAGTGTGAAAAAAAAAAAAAAAAAAAATCTTCATCACCCCCCACAAGTAGTACAGTGTCACCATGGTGACACTGTACTGCTAGGGTGACAGTATGTAAAAAAAATAAATAAAATAAAAAAATAATAATATAAAAAAATAAACTAAAAATGTAAAAAAAAATGTTTAAAAATTATAATTTTTGCTTATAAACTAATTTGGATTTTTTTTTTTACTAAAAAGATGACGGAATAAATTTTGGCTAAGATTTATTATGAAATATTATTTATTTGAAAAATTTTATTAAAAAAACACTTTTTTTCAAAATTTTTGGACATTTCATTTACATAGCAAAAAAAATACAAATCCCAGTGGTGAATAAATACCACCAAAATAAAGCTTTATCTGTCTCAAAAAAAATGGTAAAAAATTCATTTGGGTACAGTGTTGCATGACCGCGCAATTGTCATTCAAAGTGTGATAGCGCTAAAAGCTGAAAATTGCCCTGGTCAGGAAGGGGGTAAAAGTGTCCGGTCTGGAAGTGGTTAAAAAACTGCAAAAGAGCGCAGATGTACCATAAGTTGATGATTCTGAACCATGTGCTACTTTTGTTTTTAATTTTTTTTAAGAATTTGTCAAGGCAAATAAAGTCTATGGGTCCACTATTTGTAGCCAATTGCAAAGTAATTCCTGCAAAATACTCCCAGAAATATTTCTTAGAGCTCTCTTTTCTTGAAGTGTAACTATAGTCTCAAATTGAACGATTGTGAGCAGACAGGCTGTATACTGCAGAAGAGACATGCAATGACTCTTCTGCAATAAAATAAATCTACCTGCTTGCTCAGTCTTACTTGAAATGTACATAGAGCTCTGCAAGATCTTGTGTGGTAGGATGAATGAACACCTGCAGATGTGCAGGAGTGACTTCATCCCACTCCGGCCAATACTGGGTAGAAGATCCTGGCGCCATCGAAGGATGTTGGACCACTGAAAGAAATGTAAAGATCACAGACTTTATTTCCACTTTAAAGTTGTAGTAAACTCCTTAAAGAAAAGAAAATGTGGGCCCCTGGGTGGTTTAAGCCACATTGTGCTAGTATGCAATGCATACTAGGACATTATGACAGACTTACCTTAAAACTAAACCCTCCGCTAATAGGGCTTCCATCTTCACCCGATCTTCCTTCTGCGCTCGCAGGCTCTGGCCATTTGAATGGCCGAGCCGCGATGACGTCACTCCTGTGCATGGGAGTCACAGTGGTGGCACAGCGCTCTGAATTGACAGTATACTCAATATACTATCAATTCAGAGCATAGTGTGCATGCACCAGTGACATCACCAGCTGTTTAGGAGATATTCACTGTACCTACAGGTAAGTCTTATTATAGGATTACCTGTAGGTACAAGCTCAAAAGCAGAGTTTACTACCGCTTTAATGTGTTAACTTATTACTTAATGGTGGGGAAGGAGCCATTTGGTTATTCTTGGTTATTAGATGTTCAATATACAGCTAGATACAGCAAACATGTACTCGATGTCCTTATTGTCTCCAGGAGCAAAACACAGAAAACACTATAATAGGACGTTTTTTTTTTCAGCAATTAATGCATAATATTCCAGCGATTTTAAAAAGCGCTTAAATACATGTAAGTACAGCCTAGCACGTTTATAATTACATACTGGAAAATGGTGAGCAGACATTGTATAACTGGATGGCTTTAGTTTATTTCTCCAGTGAAATTTACCTCCTCATGTTTAAATACCCAGCCTTTTGTATCAGGTTTCGGTTGATGATAGGGGACGTGACATCATAATCTGGAGTATACATGGCATCACTACCAGACAGAAGTTCTTGCTGAGAAAGCCTCATGGCCTCTGCTTCTGTATCGAGTTCTCCTTGTATCCTGCAAGGGTAAGTCACATCACTATTATGAATTGACTTTTACTGAATGACAAATTCTTTTACCCAAACCATAACGCTGAGGTTTAATCTGCTTTTATTTTGTCTTCCCTGGATCTTTCCATATCACTATGTTGCTCTATGTAATGCAGGCAGATCTTAGCTGGTAGCAGAGGCAACCAGGGTGCTGTACACAGCCTACTGAAAACATGATAGCATCCTGCCTCAGTACTCCTCTAAAAAAGCCCTCAGTCCTGATGCAAGCAATGAGCCGACTCTTGGAAGAGTTATATACTAATATCAAAATGCCTTAATGGGTGAAGCTCAGCCTGGAGGATTTGGCATTCCAAGGCAAGCTGTGTTTGTATGCAGACCAGTCTAGGTAATGCCCACACCTGATTCTGAACCTCCACGATTAAAAGGTACAGTCAGACTGGGAAGGAAGGGTTGGTTCAGTGTTTACCAACCTCATTTGTCAAGTATTCCCAATGGACCATGTTCTGGAAATATCCCTTCGATAAAATATCAGTCAAGTCATTGATATTGATTTAGAGGACAAGGAGAAGGAAATCCTCAAAACATGATTTGTTAGGGGTACTTGAGGACTAGGGTAGGGAACCACTGAGCTAGATGATGCTGGACATCCTCCAGCCTGGAAATGAGATCTATCTGACTTTCTGCAGTTTCTAATGCACACTGTAAGAAGCGGACAGTGTGCAATAAAATCAGAGTAAGCAATATTAGTACAGTACAGGAGACTGTACAACTGTGCAAGACTGAAGGTCGAGCTGGAGTTCACCTATCATTCTGCATCATTCAGAAATTCATATTTTAGTTTCAGAATCTTCACTCTAATGCAGAACAGGAAATTCTCTTCTGCATAAAGGTTAACAATTATGACCACCTACAGAAAGAAGAAATGGCACACATGGGTGTGCTGAGGAACAAAGCACCATCTGCATTAAACCATGAGTGTATCGCTCATCACAGAAAGCAAATACAATGATTAAATATTTACCATGTATGACATAAAAAGTGACATCCAGCCGTTATTTCATAGCATACTACAAAAAAGAAAGATGTACATCAACCCAGTACAACTAACCACTCAGATATCAGCTTTGTGCTTGAATTCATTTGGATGGAAGACCATTTCTGACTGTTTAACAAGCAACATTGCGCTTCATGTTGCTGTGTTTTTCCTAATTAAAAGGAGGATTGGGCTTCATGATAAAATGGATACTTAGAACAATGATATGCACAGGACAATTGATTTTGTTGACTATGCATATAAAGGAACCTAAAATTTAGTCCTGAATATGTATAATGTCACCTGAAATGTTTTATGGATCACTTTAGATTGATGAGAAAGAAGAGAGGAGAGAAAATTCATAGGTGTGTATGAAAAAAAAAAACAAAAAAAAAAAAAAAACACACACACACACACGATAGGCCAAATAATTCAGGCCAAGTCTTTCAATGCAATGAGTCACATACACTATCTTGGGCTTCGACAGTAACAGTTATTACTGCATACCTTACCTCTGAATCATGTTTGTTACAGATGACAGAAATCCATCCATTTTTTGGGAAAACATTTCATATCCTTTTTTAAAACAGTTAATCTGCAAAACATTGTTCAAGAGAAACACCAGTCACATACACATATGAGATGAGCACAGCACAGTATTTTAAGTACAACAAATGCCAACTACGTTCTGGACATCATCCAATCACAGTGTATAGGGCAATGGCTGACACAACCAATCTCAGCTTAGCTGCCATTCCATTTATCCACTGAAAGCTGATCTGATCTGTAAGTGAAGGTAAATGACAACTTAAAGAGTAACTCCACTTTTGCTGACAATAAAATATTCTTCTCAAGGTGATCTATGTACATTACAGGGATTGTAACAAACGTTGTTGCAGATTCCCTACATTTTGTTATTCTGAAGAAATAGTTGTTTGTGTCCATGTGCAGAGAGAATCTGTATGGGAGTGGTTTTATAGCTATCAATCAGCTGCTACACCTGCAGGGCTCTAATGAGGAAAGTGGCAGGGTCTGCATCCCTTTAGATGTGGTTTCCCTTTGGGAATATTTCACAGAAAATTACATTTTTGTTGCAGGGGATGCTCAAAATCTGACTTGTATCTTAGTGCAGACTTCTGGGAAAATCAGTGAGCCAATCACACAAGCAGGAAATGACATTTCCAGGGGACATTCTATATACCAACTACAAAGCACCCACCAGGTAGCCATATTGCATATTACAGAAAATTAGAGAGCTGCAGATTTAAAAGGAAAGGTACTTTTTAATAACATTCAATTACAATATGACTTGTGTCACAATTGTATATGCTATATTAGGTTTTTTTCCCCCCCCATGAAAGTGAAGTTACCCATTAACTGTTATATATATTAAGCCCTAAAGTTGTTATTACAACTTAAACATTTTTCTTTATTCTTTTGTCAGATAAATGGTGAAAACACTGCATACATTTTTTTTCATGTTCTTACCTGCCAGCCAATGGGTGGAGAAAAAGCTAAGGCATCACATTTTCATCAAGCCGATTTACTACTATGTTGTTAATAGATCTAAATAGCAATAGATTAAACAACGGGACACACTACCATCCAGGGGCAGACTGACCATTTGGAAACTCGGGCACTGCCCGAGGGCCCGGGGTCAGTAGGGGGCCCCATGAGATGCCACTGGTACCTTTTTCATAGGCTTTTTTGAGTTTGAGCAAGGACACAGGGGCCCCATGATCCCCTATTGCCCGGGGGCCCCATGAGTTGTCAGTCCAACCCTGATACCATCATTTTTTCTTCAGAAAAACATCTCTGGATTTGTCAGTCTGCAGAGGTAGCCAACAGGTCAGCAAGCAGTGCTGAGCTTTTTAAATTAAAAAAAGAAACAATGGGAACACCAAGAGGTCTACTTCTAAACAAATTGCTGTGAGAATGTTGTAGCATTTGCACAAACATCACAAATAATCCTCCTGTTTGTAATATGTGTGTGAAATGTAATTTTCCATTTCCCATGTTCGTCAACTCCTACTACTGGCCATAATGTGGTATTTTCCTACAATAAGACAATCAGGAAATACCACATTATGGTCACTAGATGTAGCTGTCAATCATAGGAAATAAATAGAAAATGATATTTCACATAAATTACAGAGGCTATTTATGAAGTCTGTGTGAATTCTGTGCTTGGAATTAATAAAACACCAATGTTGCAAAATACCAGTGAGGAATTTTTAAACATTGGTGTAATTCAACTGGGTAAGGGCTGAGGATGGGTGGAATCTGTGCATGTACTGTAAGACTGGTAGCCGGGTCTTCCTAGTGGCAGGAGAGGATAATTTGTGTAATAAATGGAGCGCTACAACATAAAATACTTGTGATGAGAGAATGAGAACACAGTACCAACCCATCACCACCTATGCACATAATAAAACAGAGTTCCAGCCAAATAGTAACTATACTTAAACTTGCTCCCACCCCCGTTCTAAGCCTATTCTAATTACCCTGTAAAGCAGGGGTGTCCAAACGTTTTTCAAAGAGGGCCAGATTGGATGAAGTGAACATGGTGGAGGGCCCGAACATTTTTCCGAACATTCTTTGAACCATTACAATTAAATGCAAATAAATTATTTTATGCCAAGTTAATTGCAAACGACATACTTTTCATTTCATAACATTAAGATCAACTGACAGCTGAGTTTTTACAATGTATTGAAAATAAATTAAAAAAAAAACGTACCTGCACTAATGTGAAGGGTGAAAAAGGTAGCTGGAGCTGAAGTCTCTGCTCGGCAGCTGGGAGGGGAAGAGAAACACACTTCGTGCTGGAAGCCCGGCCCTGACGTCACCGCCCTCTGTCGCTCCCAGCGCGGCGCAGTCACGCATGCGCACTGCTCTCAGGCAGAAGACTGTCTGCCACAGAAGGGAGGGCCATGCGACTGCCGCATTTACACAGACCAGGGAGAACGTGCCGCAGTCAGGCATGCGCACTGCCCTCTGCTCTCAAGCAGAAGACTGTCTGCCATAGAAGGGAGGGCCGTGGGAGGGCCACATTACACAGAGCAGGGAGGGCTGTTGGAGGGCCGTATTAAACCGACCCCCAGGCCGTAAATGGCCCACGGGCCAGACTTTGGACATGCCTGCTGTAAAGGAAAGATGTCTATACTTGCCTATTCTGAAACCGCTCTGGTCAAGTCACAGATCTCTTCAGATTTCTTCAGTGGGTGGCCACAGTGAAGAGGAGAGATCACTGAAGATGGCGTCACTCATAGGCTTACTATGTGACATCTGTTCTTGGCTGTCTCTCCCCTACACTGAATCCAGCGGTGGAAGCTGATCATGTGCCTGGACCAGAGCGCCCTCGTATTAAGTACACACATCATTCCTTTACAGGGAAGACAGAATTGGCGGGGTCAGAGCAGGTATAGTCAGTATTTGATTGGAATTCTATTTTAATGTATAATCAACATTTATAACTGCAATAAAAAGCAGCATAATGTTTACACTGACAACACAAAAGCTGTCATAAAGCATAAAAACGGCAGGGCCGGATCTAGCCTGTCTAATCTGGGGGTGCAGTAGAAAAAGTCAGGGGGGGCACACACACTATCATTTTATCCTCTCCTCTATTAGTTCTCTACATCTCAACGTGACTGCAATGAAAAGCACATCTATTAAGCCAATTTTTTTCAACTTTTTTATTTTTTTAATGCATATACCCTTTAAAGATATTCAAAATCCCGAGACCCCCCAGTCCTGAACTGCATTTATTGGACAGAAGGATACTGACATCTGTACTGGATGATGATGTCACCCACTCCTTGGTGTCACATGGGGCAGTCCCCTCTTCACATCAGATTCCACCTATCACTTCAGAGTCAGCCACTTTTATATCACAGTCCCTCCATTACATCCCCTCCTTGAAATCACCCCCATTTTACAAGAATCCCCCCTTCCCATTGGAGCCCCTGCCATCACAACAGAGCCCACCCCATCACAACAGAGTCCTGGTTTCATAACAGAGCCCCCCCCCCCCTTTTATATAACAAAAATTATGCCATAGATCCTGAAGAGGCTACATATGGCCGCCTCACCACCTGCGAAATTCCTCTGAAAAGAAATCTATGCATGAATTGCTTTTCAGAGAAGTTGCAGTCTTTTTCAGTCAAAACAGCAGAGGAGAGGGGTATTAAGTGTGCCTGCACTCACCAATTACTTCCTCAGACTCAGCCAGCCAGAATGTACAGCCTCTTCATGTTCCCTGTACGCAATCCAGTTTGACCCCTGCACATACAGAGTAATCCCCCCCCCCCACTGCTGTGCGCACTGTATGGGGGTTGAGTGTGGACGGGGCAGACAGTAGGGATAGGATGGGACGCAGGGCACAGTCTGCTCGTCCTGTTCATGTAGCACACTGTGCTGTGGACTGCCGATCCTGTGTTTCTCATGATCTCACTGACAGGATTTGTGTTAGTGAGATAATGAGTAATAAGAGGATCGGTACAGCATAGTGCACCCGCCCCCCGCCAGCACAGAAACTCCGGGGACCAGCAATGACAGTGGGAATATATAGGCTGCTTCTGACAAAATACACTGTGTGCAGTATGTGTGACAGGCAGCATGATTTGTCATTGTTCCTGGGGGGGCACCACTGAAATCTGGAGTGGCAAAGCCCACCCCAGCACCCCCCTAGATCCAGCCCTGATAACTGGCCCTCCAAGTTTTACCTGCTGAAATCTGTGTTTGAGTGATACAGTACTGGCAATTACAATGTTTAATTCAAATTGACATGTGAATGAAAATAAAGACATAACATGTACCTGTCCTTGTGTGTAGCCCAGTATAGGATCAAGCATCGCAGTCCTCTTTCTATACTGGAGGGCATTTAATGCACAGTAATACTGCAAGGATGAGAGGTGCTGCTTTCTTCTAGCCCCGGCAACTTCCTTAGCAACTTCAACCTTTAGCTACAGAAAAGACACATTTTTGTCGATACTTTTAGGCCAGCTGCACATGGACATACTAATTTACAGATGTTTAAACTTAGGAACTTGTTGACAGAGATGTATGACCTTGCGTAAACGCGTGTATGCATATATCTACGTAAAATCAACAACAAACAAATAAAAATTGTTGACAATTATGTGAGACATTTTCATCAACTGTGACTGTACAAAAATGGCACAATGAACTCTGACAGAAATAATGCATGTTGCTTTGACTTCACCTAAAGTGAAACTTTACCCATAACAACTTGATAAAAAAAATAATGTTCTTTAGCATGGAAAAAGTACATTCCACATTAATAATCATGCTACCAAAATTAGTGTGTGTGCTGTAAATTGCCTCCAGCATTGTTCCAGTTTCTTCTTGCTGGAGGCTGCCATTTTGTTGAAGCCCAGAACCACTGAACAACATTAAATCTGTGGAATGTCAACAGATCAGCCTCTACAATTTCAGCACAATGCTTAAAAATAAAGAGCAACTGAGCACATGCAGAGCAGGGTGAGACCATGTATTACTGGAATTTAAACAGTATAGACACTTATTTTTAATGTTTTACATAGCTATAACTGAAAATGGGGCCAGCCTGAAGTGATCTAGCAGGACTTAATTTTCTGATTAAAGTTCCAATTTAAAAGTGCCCGGTAGGCAAGTGGTTAACAAGACTCTTTATGTGTATACCTCTCTCTTTGATTGCGATTCACTTGAAGTGCAGCTGTACCAAAGATTTGTTGCTCTGTATAGATTGAAGTGTATACCTGAGCCTCATTAGTATAAATTGATGTTTTTCCCAGTTGCTGTCTATAGATGTTGACCCCAAACATCCAAATACTATTCCTAATTTATGATGTGAAGCGCTCCATAGAAAAACAGTGCATTACAAAAAATAAGTTTAAAAAAAATCTAAAATATATATCAGCATACAGTGATGTATAAAATATCTACATCATCCATTGATACCTTATGGAATGATGCATAGAACATAAACCATATACCAAATCTTTAATATCACGTACCTTAATATATATACATATACACAGTGAATACATATCAAAAAGTGCCTACAGTACTAGCAAAGTGAACCATATAAAAATGAACCATATACCATATATGCCAATTGCTACATCCCTTGTTCATTTTCTGGCTGCCTGTCTGTGTAACTACAGAATTAAATAGTCATCATTATCAGAGATTTTTATAGTAATAGAATATGCAAAATCAACATGCGAAAGCCATTGATTTAAAAAGGTTAATATGTTATGAAGTGATAATTTAAAGATGTAATTTGAGATCAATACAGACTTTAGTAAGTAAAATGAATTAAGTATACCTTGATACCATATATTATTTTAAGCCTGTGTACAGTAGCCCATATAGGATCTGTTAAAGTATCAGGATGCGCATACTCATTTGTTTAATGACACTCTGAAAAGGCAATTAAAATTTTTGATTGATTACATTTGCATTTTCTTTTTTCAGAAAAGATATTAAAAAGATAAAAATAGTTCTATATTGCATTGACTACAAAACAGGATGAAATGTACCCATACTTTTGGAGAGCGGTAAATAAAATAATTACCTTGTTTATTGTAGATGAGACCAGGACAAAACATTTTGAACTGATAACATGACAACGTGTAATTTTGTAACCAGCAATTTTCAGAGTCATGACCATTCCATTTTGTAGAACATTAAATGTTCATAGCAAGTGGCAACTGGCCGTTCATTCCACTCCCTTTAAATCACATTCCGGATGGGCACTGGGTTCCTAATCATTAATTAACATCCTTCAGCTTTCCACAACATAAGATTATATTTAGTTGCTGTCCAGTCCTAATGGCTTTCATAAATCACCCATAGTGCCCAACCTAGGGTGCTTGGTGCATTTTACTTCTTAGTTATAAGCCCAGCAACTGATTTAACCCAAATGTTAGCTACTAGATTATCATACTTCACACTAACCTCATTTAGCCATCCTAGATCTATGCTATGCAAAGTTATACCAAAGTCTTTCTTAAAGTGGAGCTCCACCCAAAAGGGGAAGTTCCACTTTAAGGACTGCTCCCCTGCTCCCCATTAAGAATTGGCACCTTTGGGGAGCGGGGGGGGGGGGGGGGGGAGTGGGTGCCCACTTTCAGTCCGATCACCTAGGCGATCGGAAACGGAAGGTGTCCTCCCTCCCTCCCTGTAGTCTTTTGGGATACATGACAGGTCCCAGAAGACTACAGGACCATTCACAAAGCGCAGCGATACTCGAGCATTCATAGTGGGTACCCGGCTGTGAAGCCACAAGCTATCACAGCCAGGTGCCCACACTGAAGATGCCAGCCTCCTGGAATACAGGACGGCTGGTGAAACGAGCTGCGGGGGACACACCACGGGACCGAGGGACAGGTAAGTGGCTGTTTTTTTTTAAAATCAGCAGCTACAGTTTTTGTAGCTGCTGACTTTTATTTTTTTGATAGGTCGAGTGGAACTCTGCTTTCATTTGCAAGAATATCTGAATTTCAGAAAACAAGATCTTAACAGATTTTCCTAGATGTAAAAAAAGCTAAGTACCAAGAACCATATCCATTGCCAGAGGCCTTGTTTCCTACAGAGAGCACAATTTTTACAGTGAAGCAGGAGGTCTCCATTGTTGATTTGCTTACCTTTTCATTTTCTCTCTTTTTTGGCAGTCTGCTGTACTTTGCCATTGATAAATCATGTTCTAAAAAGAGAAACAAAAAAGGCTTCTAAATTATGTATGGCTATAAAATGTCTAAAGCTGATGTCAGGGCAAATATACAGAACAGCATAATCGAGAGAGGTATTGAGTACAAAAGCAAACATACCATTGCTAGCAAGAAGAAAAAGATCTTTTAACGTGCTTACTTCTGCAAAACAAAAATTAAAAGGTATAAATTAAATGGAAATTTAAAAAAAAATAAAAAATTCCAAAAATAATGTTGATACATAAAAATGGATGCTTACCAAAAATTCTTAAAAAAAAATTGCAGCAGGTTATTCTAGGACAGTAAGGAGGATATGGAAACTGAAAGGAGTGTGACAGTGGAACTGGGAACAATGAAAGTTAAAAAGACACCAAAATGTTATTATGTCACTAAAAGGGACTTTGTCATGGGGTCCAAGAGAAGTGGAGGTAGTGTTGGGGACGTGGGAAATGGCACAGGATTTGCCAGGGATTATTTAAACAGGAAATTGACCAAAGAAGCAGAGATTCCCACTGGACCAGAGTTAGTGAAAATGATACAGATATTTGGCATGGTACACTGAATAAATGCGAGGGATTATCACACATGCACTAGAGATAGGGTGCTGAGGGGTTAAAGCACATGTGCTAGACACAGAGGGGTTTGTACACATGTGCAGTGGGTAACTGCAGACTTAAAAGTCTCTGGTGGAGAACCTGAAGAGTGTGTGCTGGAGAGGGGATACAGGGGAAAGACCAATGGGTATGTTCCAGTGGTGGGATCTCCCTGGGAAAAGGCTGAAGATGTGAAGTCTGAAGTCACTGGAAAAAGGACCAGGAAGAGGCAGATTTCCACAGAGGCAAATTGAAACTAGAACTTAGAAATTGTTTAATATAGGCTATTTTATATTTAAACCCAGTATTTAGTAATGCCTGAAAAAAAAAACTTGTGTTTTGATGTCTTTAAAGCAGAACTTTACCCATAACAGTTTGAGAACAATTAATGTTCTTTATTGAAAAAACATACATTGCAAATTAATAATTGGTGCGTGATGTAAATTGCCTCAAGCATTGCTCCTGTTTCTTCTTGCTGGAGGCCACCATTTTGTTGACGTTGTTGAAGAGCTTCCTTACTGAGAACCCTCCCGCTCTCCTTGGTCTTAAAAGCTCAAAAGTCACATTCTGTAATTAAAATATGTGCATTTCCAGCCTATGTATGTCTTGTTTCAGCTAGAGGGAAGGGCTGCAGAAGCTTTACAGCGCTGAAGTTCATAGGCTGCCAGAGAACATCAGGGAAATAGGATAAGGCACTATCCTTGTTTGACTGTCTCCCTGGCAGCAGAGATTGTTCTGTCACTTCTCCTGTTTTTCTTTTCTCTCTTCCTAAAAGAGCAGGGTGGGACAGGGCATTACTGGATTTTAAACAGTATAGGCAGTTATTTTTATTGTTTTTACATAGCTATACCTGCAAATGGGGACAACATGAAGCAAACAAAATAAAATTTTCTCCACCTTAAAGGATAAGCTCACCTTTCGTAACATGTTACATATTCTGGGCGTAACATATACCAGGTTACCAACAGACCAGCCCCCACTTCCCCCTGCTAGCTGTCACAATTTTTAAAAAATGCGCCCATCAGGAGTGTCATGGTAGTTCATTGAGTCCTCCTGTCAGTGAGTATCTGCCTGCCCATATCAGATGTGCGAGATGGGTACAGAGATACACTGACAGGTCTGTAGGAGACCTGCATGGCATCAGCAGATCGCAAAAAAAAAAATGTGTATTTATTATTTTTTGTTAAAAGATGAACGTCGCTTAGTCCTCCAAGGGCATAGAGATAGATATCTTTCTTTCAGTTATCTCTATGTCCAGCGCTGGGATCGTTCAATGGTTTCTCAGGTAAGGCTGAGAACCACCGAGTGGTGGCAGTGGCAGGCGGGCGGCAGAGTTATTTTTGGCACATGTATCGGTGCTTATTTTCACATCAGCCAAAGACCAATAGGGGTGTTTTTCGTCCGAAGCATTAGGGTGCATACCTATTACCGCAAAATTTGTAAAAATATCAGGTGAGGCCCATGACTATAGACACCTACACCAGATCTCAGATAATCTTACTTTCCTTAGCAATGAACTCCAACCTCTACAGAAGACCAGGGGCGTATTTACCACAAGGCAAACAAGGCATTTGCCTAGGGTAGCATTTTTTAAGGGGACAGCACTGCCCCCTGGAAGAAGGGACATATGCGGCATGGGGACCAGGTGGGATCCTAGAGAGGCTGCGGGCTGCTTGAAGGTGTATGCAGAGCCCAACTGTCATTCTCAGGGATGTCCAGAGCTGTGAAGGTGTCTATCACCATGATGGGGGTGGAGGGGGGGGGTGGATGTTAGTGGAAGGCTCTCTCGGGTGGGGGGATGGGGCAGGTGTGTTGTTGGTCACTATCAGGCTCTCTGCCCAAGAAGGGGGGGTGGAGGGGTCTGGTGTTGGTCAGTGTCAGGCTCTCTGCTGGGGAGGGGTGTCCGACTTTTGTGTTGCCTAGGGCAGCACAAAACCTAAATACACCACTACAGAAGACTACACATGAAGCATTCCTACAGCATTATACTAGAACTACAGGTCTCAGTACTGCAATACAGCTGTTATAACCTCTTAAAGTACCTTTCCAACATACATGTAAAATATGTGCTTGGGTAAGGTATGCTGGCTTTGGGGGTCTAAGAAGACCTCCTTAGTCACTTTAGAAAGCTCAGCTAAGGAGGCAATGCAGACATTCAGTCAATATCTCCAGGAACAAATGAGTATTAAAAAAATAACAATCAAGTAAGAGAGCACATGCATAATTTCAACAAACTTTTAGATTTGTGTTTATTATATGAAAGTAACCATAATTAAGTTGCCTGAGTTTCTAGTAGAAGAGACTGGATAAAAAAAAAAAGTTAGATATTATGGAGGCGGAAGAATGCCTAACAACAGGTAAAATGGAGAGCGCTAGTAAGATATGGGCTCTCTGGCTACATTATATCTAAGGGTCACTGACCCAGATGAATTTAACTGCTGACTTACCCTCACCCTGCTCCCACCAGGGAGGTGAGGATTGAACTTCTACCTAAAATGATGGACTAAGACAAATTTGGAAAGCAGCCTGTTATTTCTTGTGTGGAGTAACTATTTGTATTGTTTTTACAAGTAGGAGTTTCTGCGTCCTGGAATGGGAATCCCTGTTAAGTGATGATTATTGCCTTGAAAATGTTCTCTCTCTCATTTTTTGCTTTCTTTTATTTTAGCTTTTTTTATATACTCAACATTGGATCAATGACTTTATTGTACAGATTGTAAAACTACCTTACTTGCTGACCTCCCATGTTTACATTTGAGAGGTCTCCTCAACCTCAGACATACTAAATGTTGCAAGTGATAGACACTGGATAAGTGTTTGTTGCCTATATGAGACTCCAAATCTTGTGGTTGGATCTTCCTTGCTGTTTACTTGGCTACTTGTGCGCATATAACAACAGTGTGTACTCTGGAAGTTTCTAAGGCCTATTTGGTCCTTTCGTGACTTATATTTGCTTATACAGACAATTGTCATGTGTAACCTTGTCATTTCTTTACTTCAAATGTATTAATGTTTGTATTTTTTTTTATATCTGAAAATAAAATATTTTACAAAAAAAAAAAAGCTAATAATAATTAAGTTGTTAAGGTCATAAACCTTTGTGAAGCATTACCTTACCTGTAAGGTCCTTTTCACGGAACTGAATTAATGGCAGCACCATTGTGTCTGCCAGCTGTTTTGCCAGTTCGGTATGAAGTACATTAAGCTGCAAAAAAAAATGAAAGAGAAAATTTCAGGTGATTTTAAAAGTAATTACTTGAGTAAGGTCTGTGTAAGCACTTTGCGTGATCAGTGCTATTTTTCCAAACTTCCACATTTTAAGATTTCAGCAGTTTTTTAAATTTCTTTAAAAACACATAATGCTTCTGGGTCAACTTTATGTTTATATGTTTTTAGTTATGTTGTGGTATACAATCACTGTTTTACTAATATATACATTTAATACAAGACATTGGATTCACAGAGCAATATCTAAAGCAGGCAATAGCAACCCTTAGCATGCAATGCAATTTGTGCTGCCATCTGCCGTCGTTGGCTTTAAACTGACAATTTGCTAGGCTGTTAACCACTTGTCTACCAGGCACTTATACCCCCTTCCTTACCAGGCCAATTTTCAGCTTTCAGTGCTGCCGCACTTTTGACAATTGCGCGGTCATGCAACATTGTACCTATATGAAATTTTGATCATTTTTTTCTCACAAATAGAGCTTTCTTTTGGTGGTATTTAATCGCCACTGGGCGCTTTACTTTTTGCGCTATAAATAAAAAAAGTGCAAAAAATTAAAAAAAAAAAAAAAAAGTTTATTTGTTTCTTTTATAAAATTTTTCAAACAGGTATTTTTTCTCCTTCACTGATGTGCGTTGATGAGGCAGCACTGATGGGCACTGATAGGCGGCACTGATGGGCACTGATAGGCAGCACTAAAGGGCACCGATAGGCAGTACTGATGAGGTGGCACGGATAGGCGGCACTGATAGACAGCACTAATTAGGGGTCACGGATAGGCGGCACTAATATGCAGCACTGATAGGTGACACTGATGATGGGTACTGATAGACGGCACTGACTGGCATCACTGCTGGGCACTGACTGGCGGCACTGACTGGCACAACCCCTGGGCACTGACTGGTGGCACTGACTGGCAGCACTGCTGGGCTGCACTGGTGGGTGGCACTGGTGGGCGGCACTGGTGGGGCACTGGGGTGGGCACAGGTGGGTGGCACTGCTGGGCACATGTAGGTGGCACTTCTGGGCACAGGTAGGTGGCACTGCAGAGTGGCACAGGTGGGTGCACTGCTGGGCACAGGTGGGTGCACTGATGGGCACGGGTGGGCGGAGCTAGTGGGCGCACTGCTGGGCGGAACTTGCGGGTGGCACTGCTGGGCACCGATCTGTCGGTTCTCGGCAGTACTTTCCTCACGATCCGACAGCGTGAGGAAAGTGCAGCCGAGAACCGGCACTTGCATTTCCTTCTGATCAGCGTGTCATTGGACACCGCTGATCAGGTGGTAAAAGGCCGCTGTGATTGGCCTTTTACCACATCACGTGATCAGCTGTGTCCGTAGGACACAGCGATCACGGAGATCGCCGGGTGCGCGCCCCCTGGGGCGCGCAGGAGAGCGCGTTCTGGGAGGACGTCATATGACGTCCACTCAGAACTGGCCGGCCGCAGTGAAGCCGTCATTCGGCTATCTGCGGTCGGCAGCTGGTTAAATACTAAGCCTGCTTTACCCACCCACCTACCTACCTGATGTCACTGAATGCCACTAGTGGCTGAGACATTGGTGTACTGCGCGAAAAGAGCATACAGTAGTACCCTGCAATTCTAAAGGTACTAGGTTTGGGCTGATCGGAGATCTGAAATGCATACATTGGAGCTTATCTGAGGTCTAAAGTGCATGCATTGGGGCTGATCCAATCATGTGAAGTACATACATTGGAGCTGATCTGAGGTCTAAAGTGAATACCTTGGAGCTGATCCAGTGGTCTGAAGTGAATGTCTTTAAGCTGATCCAATAGTCAGAAGTGAATGCATTGGGGCTGATCGAATGGTCTGAAGTGCCTGCACTGGGGTTGGTCCAATGGTCTGAAGTGCATACATTGGGGTTGGTCCAATGGTCTGAAGTGCATACATTGGGGTTGGTCCAATGGTCTGAAGTTCATACATTGGGGTTGGTCCAATGGTATGAAGTGCATACATTGGGGTTGGTCCAATGGTCTGAAGTGCATACATTGGGGTTGGTCCAATGGTATGAAGTGCATACATTGGGGTTGGTCCAATGGTATGAAGTGCATACATTGGGGTTGGTCCAATGGTATGAAGTGCATACATTGGGGTTGGTCCAATGGTATGAAGTGCATACATTGGGGTTGGTCCAATGGTATGAAGTGCATACATTGGGGTTGGTCCAATGGTCTGAAGTGCAAACATTGCGGCTGGTCCAATGGTGCATGCATTGGGACCGAACATGTTTTGTGTGTGTACCAGTTAATCAATTTTTATACCTCAAGTTGTGCTGCTAAGGTAAATTAAACTCATGAGTTTAACTTGCCAATAGTGGTACATTTTGGAGTATAAAAATTAAAAACAAAGTAAGATTACAAACAAATCTGGATGTCAGCACTCTTCATAATTCTTATTTTATTGGTAAACCTTAAAGTATAGCTAAAGGCAATTTTGTTTTTTCAGTTTTGAACAAAGTCAAGATGGATTAGAAAACCTGGTTTTTATTGCTGTCTGTGCCCCCATTAGGGAGATTCACCATCTCTATTTGTCCTGTATATCTTTATCATCAAAAGTGAAAGTAGAAGAAAATCCCAAATTTTTGGTTATTCCCAGAAAAGTAATAGAGGGGAAATTTTCCAATGGGGACACTAGCTCTAGTGACCTGGGGGTCCCCAATGAATTGCTCTTTTTTGCAGAGATTTTCTCACTTCCTGTTATAGGATAGGAAATTAAGTTAAATCTCCCCATAGGGGCAAAAAATAAATGGACAAGGGTTATACCCCACCCTTAATCTATCCAAAATGGAAAAAAAATAAAGTTTTGCCTATAGCTGTACTTTAACCTGGTTAATATTAAGCGCATGGTGGGCACAGACTATATTATCCATCTTCTGTCTCCCATTGTGATGTGTTGTCCATATTGTGACTTTTACCAATAAAGCTTATGAAGAGTGCTGCCATCTGGATTTGTTTGTAGCAGTGGTTTGAGGGCCAGGCATGCACCTTTTGGAGGAGTTTCTGCGGCGAGATAAAAGCAGGTAAGTGGAAGCCTTGAGTGGCATGTAGCTCTTTAAAACTAAGATTACAACATGCTATTGGTCACCGGCATGCCAGTTGTTTAATGCCTGTGGAATATGATTCGTTGAACAAAATGTATCTTTTTGCAACCTGACAAGTAGCTATGACAGTTAGAGTCTCTTTATAAACATTTTCACACAAGATTAACACAACTTCCTCACATGATTAAATGTGTGAATCCTGATTGAAAGTTGTGTGATTCTTGTGTGAAAACATTTATAAATAGATCGTTTAATGTGGAGAAGTTTGTTGACCCCTGGTCTAAAGAGAAAGCTGGAGCAGCCTGCCCTAAGGCTCGCTTTTGCTGACTGAAACCTTGGACTGAGCCATCCAATAAACTGAGTCCCTTCTCTGCATCATTTATTTTTCAGCTTAGATTCTTGAGTTCTATCCAGCCCACATGAATGTTTTTTGATACAGAAGAATACACAGTATGCAAATGCAATGTTTAATGTTTTCCATCTGTGTCTCATCATGGAGATGTCTCTTCACTTCCTGCCCTGTGGACTTAATAGGAAGTGAAATGATAATCTTTCCAGTGTGATGAAAATCGCCTTTTAGACAGGTGTCACAGAAAGAAGTGTCCCTGATGTACAGTTGCAAGAAAAAGTATGTGAACCCCTTGGGATTACGTGGAGTTTTGCATGAATTGGGCATAAAATGTGCTCTGAACATCATCTAAGTCACAACAATAGAAGAACACAATCTGCTGAACATAATACTACACAAACATTAGATGTTGCCATGGTTTATTTGCACATAACATGTAAACATTCACAGTGCAGGGAGGAAAAAGTATGTGAGGCCCTAGCTTAATGACTTCTCCCAGAGCTAATTGGAGCCAGGAGTGAGCCAACCTTGACTCCAATCAGTGTGATGATATTGGATGTATTGCTGACAGCTGTCCTGCCCTTAAAAAACACACACCTGTTTTGGGTTTACTGGTTTCAAGAAGCACTGTCTGATGTGAACCATGCCTCGCAGAAAAGAGCTCTCAGAAGACCTACCATCAAGAATTGTTGACTTGCATGAAGCTGGAAAGGGTTACAAAAGTATCTCCAAAAGCCTTGATGTTCATGTGTCCATGGTAAGACAGACTGTCTACAAATGGAGAAAGTTTAGCACTGTTGCTACTCTCCCTAGGCGTGGTCGTCCTGTAAAAATGACTGCAAGAGCACAGCGCAGAATGCTGCATGAGGTAAAGAAGAATCCCGGAGTGTCAGCTAAAGACCTACAGAAATCTCTGGCACATGCTAACATTTTTGTTGACACATCTACAATAAGGAAAACATTAAACAAGAATGAAGTACATGGGAGGACACCACGGAGGAAGCCATTGCTGTACAAAAAGAATATTGCAGCATGTTTGACATTTGCAAAAGAGCACCTGGATGTTCCACAGCACTACTGGCAAAATATATACTGTGGACAGATGAAACCAAGATTGAGTTGTTTGGGAAGAACACACAACACTATGTGTGGAGAAAAAAAGGCACAGCACACCAACATCAAAACCTCATCCCCACTGTAAAACATGGCGGAGGGAGCATCATGGTTTGGGGCTGCTTTGCTGCCTCAGGGCCTGGACGGATTGTTGTCATTGATGGAAAAATTAATTCCAGAGTTTATCAAGACATTTTGCAGGAAAACGTACATTTATCTGTCCGCCAACTGAAGCTCCGCAGAGGATGGGTGATACAACAGGACAATGACCCAAAGCATACAAGTAATTCAACAAAACAATGGCTGCAACAGCACAGAATACGCCATCTGGAGTGGCCCAGTCAGAGTCCTGACCTCAACCCGATTGAAATGCTGTGGCATGACCTTAAGAGAGCAATTCACACCAGACATCCCAAGAATATTGCTACACTGAAACAGTTTTGTGAAGAGGAGTGGTC